TATATATGATAAATGCTTGAGTAGGGGTATTTTCGTCATATTTTGAAAAAAATGTAATGTGAAAGGGGTTTTTGTATTTATGTGTAGTAAGGGGGGTATTGGATACAAACTCCATAGTACAGGGGTGTTTTTGTATTTAACCAAAATTAAATAATATACAATTAAACCTCTATAAATTAATAGAGCCAGAACTAGCAAAAATTCTATTAATTTAGCAAAATATTAAATTATCGAAGTAATGACTTAGTAGGTTTTTACCGAGTCGAGACAAAAAAAAAACTATTATTCAAGCGAGGTTATTAATTTATCGAGTATTAATTTATTGAGATTCTCCTGTAATATTATGTACAGTTAAACATCTATAAATTAATACAGTCGGGACTAGCAAAAATTTATTAATTTAGCGAAATATTAAATTATCGAACTAATAATTTAGTAGGTTTTACGGAGTCGAAATTAGAAGAAAATATTACTTAAGCGAGGTTATTAAATATTAATTTATTAGCCATCGAAAAGCTAACATGCGCGGCGTTAGTCCACCTCACCGGCGCTGAACCATCGGTTGCATCGCCTCAATTTTTTTTGTCAGTTTTCTGGTTTCATCTCTCTCCCTCTCGGACAAGAGTTCACTCTGTCTAAAAAAAGCATGCAATTCGGCCATTAAATCACACCAAAATGGCCCTCACATTTCACACCGTCTTCACCAACCCGACCCGTTTCTTGAAATCCCCCAAATTCCCATTTCCACCCCCAAATTCAAGAACCCAATTCGAAACCCCCAGATTTTTCACAACCCACCCCCGCCGCTTCGCCGCCGCAAGGATCAACGCCTCCTTCCAAGAACCGTACGGAGCTTCAGGAAACATCACCACCAGCGGCGGCGGCGGCGGAGGCTACGATGCTTTTCTTTCCACTCTTGAATTCCTCAGCCTCGCTTCCTCGGCCGGTTTCTCCGTCTACATCGCCGTGAAATGCGGTGTGCAGAAAGGAGGAGGAGGAGCTCTGGGGGTGGTGGGGAGCAAGTTCTTAGTGTGGCAGTGCGTGGTCTTGGTGATCGGATTGGCCGCCGGAGCTGTGATAAGGCGGCGGCAGTGGAGGAGGATTTGCGGTGTCGGGTTTTCGAGAGGGCCGCCTTCTTACGGGGCTAGTTTGTTAGACAGGGTGGAGAAATTGGAGGAGGATTTGCGCAGTGTGTCCACAATCATTCAAGCTTTGTCGAGGCGGCTCGAGAAGCTCGGCATTCGGTTCCGGCTCACCCGTAAAGCTCTCAAGGAACCAATTGCCGAGGTAATTCATTAAGGCCTCGTTTGCGAATATATATTGATATTGATTGATAAGATTGATCGATTGAATCGGAGTTCGGATATGATTATGTTGTCCATGATGATGATAATGTAATACAGTTAAACCTCTATAAATTAATACAGTCGGGATTAACAAAATTCTATTAATTTAGTGAAATATTAAATTATCGAACTAATAATTTAGTTGGTTTTTACTCAGAAGAAACAATTATTTAAGTGAGATTATTAATTTATCGAGGTTCTACTGTACGTGGTTGTTTTCTTACATATGTGATTTGTTATTGTATAATCCTTTGTATATCCCGGGCCCCGGTTTTAATCGTAAACCCCAAAGATTTGATACATCTTGATTATGTACGATTATATAGTGTATCAATACTTATCCTACTAGCCCTAAGGAATGTAGCTTGTTTGTTAAGGAAGGACTCAGCGGCCAATCATATATGTGCACTAGGTAAATCTACACCTCTCGTTTAATAGCTTGCAAATCATACGAGAGACGTAAACCACACTAGGCTAATAATGTGTGACAAACTCAACTTATCGACCGTTGATTTTGTAACACTAGTGAGTTGTCTTTTGTTAGAAATTTAGAAAATCTCGTGTGTTGGTTTTGGGCAGACAGCAGCTTTGGTCCGGAAAAATTCGGAGGCAACACAAGCGTTGGCGGCACAAGAAGACAATCTCGAGAAGGAGCTCGGTGAAATTCAAAAGGTTTTACTCGCTATGCAGGTAACTTACTTTTCGATACGATACTTGACGTACGCTATCTAAACTAGGCCTCGTTGGGTTGGGGAGATTAGCCACGATTAACTAAATAATTGGACTTAATTTGATGTCTGGTTAACCCTATTATTTTCCGGGTCGACCCGCAAATTTTATTTTATCATGGCTAATGTGGATGGATCTATTGGGAGATATTATAACTAGACGAAATTATACAAACACCTTATGAAAGAATAGGCCTTTGGTAACCATACGAGGCCTTATACTATTAAGTTCAGTGAGATGAAATTTATCGGAAAAAAATATTTTCTTTACATTTTAACGGAAATGCAAATTTAGGGTTTGATCGGGTTCCTTTTTTTCATTGTCAAATGTCTATGTAGGAGCAACAGCAAAAACAGCTCGAGCTGATTCTTGCAATCGGCAAAGCTGGCAAGTTATGGGACACCAAACGTGTCGAAAATCAAGATAAAAAAGCACCCGAGCCTACTAAATCTCCGGTGGCAAATTTGGAAATAAACCCAAAAATCGAGACGCCGACGTGGCAGAAAGAATCGAGCAACGACAAGCTTTGAGATATTTTTTTTTCCGGTAGGAACGTCAGAGTACGGGCCTTGGTTCTCGTTTGATGCTAATAGGGGAACAAGACTCGATTAAACTTCATCTTCATTCTTGATATTTGATGGTCCGTTTTGCTGCAGAAATCAAAATCGATTCTTTTTTTGGCGGGATTGGTTCTTGTTCCAGTTTTGCCCCTGATATTTGAAATACGGATGATTTTGTAATTGTAATCGAATCGATAAATTGTTTACACTTGTGTGGTTTTTGGTGAGGAAAAAGAGGTAGTTGTTATTTCTCATGCTGTGTTAAGAACTCTGTGTAGCTTGTTATTTGTATTTTTGGAACTACTACAGTTTAATTGTTGAAAGGAAAAGAAAAGAAGGCAAATGATGTACCAAAAATGAAGATGCTGGAACTTGTGGCAATTGTGCAAATATTAAAATTATAGGGGTATATATATATATATATATATATATATATATATAAGTTTTCATTCATATATAATTTTTTTTTTTTTATGTATTTTCATCAAAAGTATTTAAAATAAATTTTACTATGAATTATCAATTTGCAATTGATCATTGAATAATGTAAATAATTAGGGACACAAAAAAAATGAAAATTTGCAATTCAAATATGTTTCTATTTTTTTAAAAATTGCAAGAATGGCCAATAAGGTGTCCGACAGGTGTTCTCAAGTCTTGGACACAAAATGTGTCCAAAATGCGGAAACGTTAAGAAGTAAGTTAAGAAGTTGAAGTTTTCGTGCAACATAGGTGTAGTACGTCATTTACTTCTCTTGCGCGGTGTTATACAAAAGAAATTATTCGATATACTTCGAGTGATTACAAGTTCTCCTGTCAAAAGAAAACAAAAAACTACTTTTACTTTAGATAATTTACCAAGAAACATAATACCAAACTATACAAGAGAAAAAAAAAATTTTTGACAACTTTTGGGGTGCAAATCGAGCACGAATGCAATATCACTTTCGAAAAAACTTCAATTTTTTTTGGAAGTGAAAACTTAATTTCGATCTCGTTCCAAGAAAAAAAAAATTGAATTTTCGGAAATTGGAGATAAAAACTCGTTCCAAAAGGAATTTTTCCAATAAGAATCAGCGGAATTCGAAATTCTCAATGTTTTAGTCATCTACAATATGAAATATATAATAATATTAATATTATTAGTGTAGTTTTCGGAAAATAATATGAGAAATTCGACAACATTTTCAGAATTTAAAGTCCGACTCTAAATCGAAATTTAACATGTTTCCAATTCCGTTAAAAAAATTGAAAAAAAAAAACCGGAATTCTCAAAAATATTTTGTTCTCAATCTCTCTCTAAAATCTCTCTCTCTCTAAAATCTCAGGCAATTGGAAAATGGAAGGGCTAGAAAAGCTGGGACAAGTACAGAGTACTATAAACTTGCTGCATTCCGTCGGAGTTTCCGATGCCAACCCCGTCGCCGAACGCTTCCTCGCCGATTTCACCTCCCTTCTGGTGATCATCTCTCCATTTTTTTCGTAATCCTGCAATTTATTTTCATTAATTGAATTATACAACAATCTAGGGTTTCATTAATTATTTTTTCATCGCTTTAATTAACCCTATAAAATTTGCTTCTTTTGCATCCAATTCGGATAATTTGCTACTGTTTTGAGTTCCTCTAAGTTACTCACTATTGGGAATGATTATGTAATCTATGTGGGAGGATTTGTTTCTTCACATGATTATGTTTGTGTGTGAGATTGGATTTGTTAGTTAGTAGGCATTGTGTGATTGAAATTTGAGTTCGAATATTCGTTACCGGAAGCATAGAGATTCCACTGTCATTCGCCACGTGTTTATTGTGTAATAACTCGACACTTGACAGAGTACGTCTCAAAATATTTAGGAAATCCGATGGCAGATTCTTGATAGTGAAGATTTTGTGGATTAAAATAGTAATGCTAATAGGGGTGGAAATTGGAATGTAATTTCCGATTTCCGCTGATTCCGAATACGATATTTTAGATTTTGGAACAATATTTTTCGATCACAAATTCCGACTTCCAACTTCCGACTTTTCCGAAATTATTTGGATCGGAATTGGAATATACATGAGATTCCGATTTCCGATCCGATTTAAGTTCAGAAAATTCCGATTTTTTTTCCAAATATTACATAAAAAAAACCGATATCATTATGTATTTCACATTTAAGGTGACCAAAAATTGGAAATTTCCAAATTCGGCCGATACCGATCCGAAATTCTCCGATTATGGAACAACTTCTTTTGTTCCAATTTCCGAAATTCCGATTCCCTATTTTTTGGAACGGAATTGGACCTAGTTTTTCAGTTTCGAAAAAAAAAATGGATTTTTTCCAAAATGGCTAGTTCCAATCCGATCCGTCCGATTTACACCCCTAATGCCTACACATGTAAGTGTATACGAGAGAAATCATAGTGTAACTCTGTATTTGATCTACGTTATTTGATCAACATCAAAGGTTTTGCTGCATCGATGGAATAAAATATTTTATGTTTGATTTGTGCATATTGTATTGTAATGTTAATTTTTTTTCCTTTCACTGATTTGACGACAAAATTTGCTGAAGATGCAAAGGTTCGGTGAGCTTGAAGTTACCTCGAAATGCGAATTGATTTCCAAACACATTTCAAAGGTTTGTCGATCATTCTCCATTTTCTTTCGGTTTTAATTGCAAGGTTTTTAAGACAAGCATCTAAAGTGTTTCTCTTTCTTGTTGCTCAAGATATTAGATTTATTTACCGGCGGTGCGTTACAATGTGGAAGTAAAGGTGTGTCACACATTGTGGTGATTTATTTTATTTTTTATCGTAAAGGAAAAAATAAATCCCGTAGTTGAATAAATTCTGCCTTTTCATGTTTATTGTGCTACTTTTCTGAAAAATATTTGTGCTAAATAACCGCATGAACTAAAACTGATATAAAAATTATCTTATAAAAAATTAAAATCAAGATTTTGCAGGTTGCAGCTCGATTGGAAACGATTTACAACTTTATTGCGACAATAAAACGAATTTGGATCGTGTGCAGAGTTTGCATGATAATGTTGCTATGGTTGGGATGGATGCAATGATCCGTTCGAATTCAACTCTTGAGGATTTTGTAAGAATTGTTATTATCGATACTCATTATTGCACTCTTTATCTTACGTTTATTCTGCAATGAGTTGAATTACGACATTGGACATTTTAATTTCAGCCGAATATGAATTTGTCATGTTTGAAATTTTTCTCGAGCAAAAAAAAAAAAAAAAAAGAGTAAAATCATATGCGACGCTGATATTCCGATTATTGAAATTGATAGTGCAGGTCATATTTTATGTTTCACAAAATGGAAGCGAACCAGCCAAATTCGATTTTCCGATACCTGCCTATGCTTTCATTTACAGAAAGTTATATTTATCAGGTAAATGGTAAACTTTGTCTTTATACATCAGATTCCAATTCATTTTTTATATCATTAATTTCACGTTATTCGGGCAATAATGCAGCTGGATGACTTAAACGAGAAACTACTGCAGTTGCCGAGGGATGGAGTTTCGATTTTTCCTACGGAATTTAAGGTAATTGAATTTTTTTACCAAAAAGAATCTTAATATTTAAATTATTACAATGCTCTTAATTTGTGACCGGGCATGCACAGGATCCGTTTAGACCCCTCGTTAGTGTACTAGAACAACATGGGATTTTGACTGAACGGTTCGTATTTCATTATTTTACGATCTTACATAAAAATTTGATCTTTGAGCGATGCTCTATTTATTTTATTTTATTTATTATTTATTTGATTTATAAATAATAAGAATTATAGAAGAGTTGAGGTGTGGAGAAGAATATTGGGCTCTGGAAAGAAAGTTATGCTGTGCACTTGTGAGCAATGACAAGGTATGCTTACGTGTCATTTGCCTGTAGAATATTGATTCATTTTGCATATAATCAATTAAAAGAAATATAAATATTATTTTTTCGTAGATATCAATTGAGGATGTAATAAGGGCTATCCATCTCAAATCCTTCGATTATCGAATGCTGAACCTTCTATTGTATCAACTAAGAGGAGAAAAGGTATTCTATTGTTTATATATACACTAGCAAAATATTTAATATTTTTAAATATCATCTTTTATTTTTTTCGAAATAGCATTTTCAGTAATTAATCCACTTAGTTTGAAGCTGTTTTCAAGGTAAATGAATTGCATATGGAGTTTCTGTCAATCTCGGAATTGCTTGTCGAAATATCCGATGATCTGTAAGTGATTCTTCTTCTCGTTTTTTTCTTCATTTTTCCGAATAAAAAATATGATACGTATCACATTTATGCATGTGACGGAAGCATAAAACAAAAAAAAATCACCGATGGATAACCAAATAATGCCACAGGTTTGATTACGAAGTGAGTCTCTTTCCGTTTTTTTTTTCTCTCTTTATTTCTCTTTTGATTCATTTCGTATTTATATATTTGTATTTTAATTTGATTTTATATTTTTTAATAGGATGACGTATTAGAGAATAATTTCAACGTTCTTCGAATGTTTGTGAAATACTACGGAGCTTCTTCAGCACCAGTGATGATGGTAAGTATTCAACGGTGCATATTTACACATCTTCGTTTCGTAAATGACTATATTTATTTATTTTTAATATTTTATTCTTTTTTTTTAATTGTCGTTAGGCAAATTTCATAACCGAAGCGGAAGAGAAGTACGATAAATTATTGAAATCATTAGAAGATGAACTTTCTGTGATGTATAAGAAAAGATGTGAAGAAGCTACAAAAGAAGGTAAAAATGAAAAATCTTTGCAAAGAAGTTAAATTACTTAGCTTCATAGTTATTATTTTTTTAATTAATTTTTTTTCGGTTAGGTGGGAAAATTTATGGTCCTCTCGGAACATGGCACATGCCAACTGTGATCGCAGACGAGATTGGATATCGAACGAAATTTTCATCTAAAACTCCATAATTTTGTACCTCAAACAGATCATTACAATAATTTAATATCCGATCGACATATTTTTTGACTAGACGGTTACTTTTGTGTCGACAATTTTCGAAGAAATATTTTCTTGACATGTAATATGTGTCTGATTGTACCACAAAAAAATCATTACAAAAATTTAATTATCGAACGACGTATTTATTTACTAGACAGTTACTTTTGTTTCGACGATTTTCAAAGAAATATTTTCTTGATATGTAATTTGTTGTGTCTGATTTTCTTCATCAATCTCCTACACAACATGATAAAATCATGTGACAAAATCAAAACTTTGACCATCACCAAATCTACTTTCAAATCTAACATCAAATTCTCCGAAGTATAATTCACAAAGTTCATAACACCATCATTAAAAGATTAAATAAAATAAAATATAAAAATAAAAAAAAACCCATCACCAATACACTTAAATAAATCCATACAACAGTCAAATTCCTTACAACACGTTCATATATATATAATATATATATCCAAAAAAAAAAAAAAGCCCGAAACTCACACATAAAATCAGCACAAGTCGCAGACACACGAGAAGACGAAGAATATCGAAGTCCTCCAAGAAAAAAAAAAGAAAAAACTATAATAATAATAATAAGTCTATCATAATCATCATTACCTTAATTAAGTGTACTTAATTAAGGAGATTGCGGCCAATCATAGCCCGCATCCACAGCATTAGCAGCATCGTAAAACCACATCTCAACCTCCACCTCATCATCAATCGGATTTTCATATTCATCCCCCCAAAAATCATCATCATCAAGAATCTCCTCCTCGTCGACATCATCATCATCATCGATGATGACATCACCCGCCACGAAATCCCACGCAAGATACCCCGAAGACCCGGAATACTCCGACCCGTTATCCCATACATTCATCACATCGTAGCAATCCACCACAACGGGGCCCACAACCCTCAACTTCGGATACCCCTTCACAAACTTGTCATCCAAATCCACATTCCAACAACCTCGTACGTCTAGAAGCTCGAGATTCTTGCAGTTCTTGATTATCTCGACGATGCTGGAAGTTTCGACGAGCAAGTACGCGATCTCGAGGTGTTTGAGACGAGGCATGGTGGAGGCTATCGCTAGGGCTTCGTCATCTTGCGAGAGCTTCTCGATCACCTCTAATGGATGCATTATTCGCCTCAAGCTGGCGAGGAATTTGCAGCTTTGGCCTATTGCTTTTAGGGTTTCGGCTCCGATGTTGACGCAGTAGCTCAAATCGAGAAAAGTGAGATTCGGTAGCATTGAGATGGATTTTCCGGTTATGGAGTCGTTTAGTTCGCACCTCGGCACTCGCAATGTTCGTAAAGATTGAGCACTTGCAAAAAAAAAAAGACGAATAATTGTTAGAAATGATGAATAAATGAAGGAAAAAAAAAATTAATCGTCGGCGTCAAGTAACAAAAAGATGAGTTTTTTGTTTTCCTAATATATAATATGAAGTGAGGTTATATCAATAAAGATGAAAATGTAGTAAAGGGTGGAAACACAAATACAACAGAATTACTAAAATACCCCTACAAAATTTTCAAGGTTACGAGTACTCATCCATCACATGCAGTTGCCCTACGAAGTTGCTTCATCTGTCTAATGAAGAAGAAGACTCCATCGGATATAAATTATCGATTTATTCTACTTATGTCTATGCAACTTAATCAAATGCAACATTACGAAAGTAAAAATGTCAAGTCGAATATCAAAAACCGCGATCAAGATAGCAATAAATGTGGTATTTCCCGACTTATATTTGTATTGATCTAGAAACACATAATACGAACAAATTAATTTCCTTTTTATTTTTTTTCCAAATATATAATATGAAGTGAGGTCGTCTTTATATAAAACAAGCTCTTCTAGCTTATAGAGATGGAAATGTATTTAAGGGTGCACAAAAAGTATAAGACGGCATTTTTTTTCCCACGTGGCTATTTCGTCTACACTCGTAGGAAGAACTCTTACGTATTTATGACTCGAATTACAAAAATACCCCTACAAAATTATACAAATCACGAGCCCACCCGGATATAACTATAGATTCGTTCTACTTATGTCTATTCAATTTAATTAAATGCAACGTGTCCAAATTACCATCCAACGCCCCCACAAAGCTAAATAATCAACTCAAGCACGCAAAATTAGCGATCAAGATAACTATCAATGCAATCGAGATTACTAAAAAATGTGGTCTTTCGCCCGACCTATATTTTGCATGATCTGAAAACAGTGACACGAACATTAAATTCAGAGCACCAAAAAAAACAATCACCAAGGCCACATAATCGATACTTACTTATTTGCTATGAACATAATACTTTGCTCGTTTGCGAGACCGAAAACCGCGAGTTTACGGAGAGATCCACAGCTTCTCGTAATCAATAATTGGAGCATTCGATCGACAATTTCGGGTTTGGAAGTTCTGCTCCACTCGTCGATATCGATTTCTTGCCAGCAATAAGGCCCCATAATCGCTCGCCCCCATGATTTGCAAACTCTAGGTACCACAGTTAGTACCTCAAGCAAAGAAAGATTCTTGAATATTAACGCGAGCGCGTCGGGTATTAATTCGTCCCATCTTCGAAAATCGTCACCTTCCTCCATTTATTTTGTATATATACATACAAGATTTACTTTTTCACCCCTGCCAAAATTGGTGAAGAAAAATGTAAGTAGGGTTTCAGAAGAATGAGATGTTTTCAGAAATTGGGATTCTTGAAAACCCTAACCAGATCATTTGGTTTCAATTACAGAAGATGATTTCAATCAAATTTCAGACAAGAATTCAGGGATAAAGATGTCATTTTTAAGCTGACAAAAATTCCCATGGAAAAAAAGATTCAGCACATAAAAAAAAATCTAAAACAGAGTGGCAGAAAATTGGAGAGATTTGCAGAGAGATGAGCAAGAAAGAGATGGGCCCACAACATTATATAACCTAAAAAATTTATCAGAAATGTACAGATCAAACCATAGCCCAGGTAGAACAAAATAAAAAACAGCTATAATCCAAAGCCACAAACAAATAAAAAATAAAAAAGCTGAAATCTTGATAATCTTACCATACACCAAATTATTCAAGAAAACCAATTCGCCGATGTAGAGAGAGAGAGAGAGAGAGAGAGAGAGAGAGAGAGAGAGAGAGAGAGGGTTTTGAGAAAAAAAGCTATCTCATTTTTTTGACAAGAAATTTGCAGCAAGAAAACCGACAGATGAAAATGCAGAGAAAAAAAAATGTGATCTTTAGAATGTTTCAACATCAAATTAGGGGCCCAAACAAAAAGAAAAAGAAGAAAAAGGGCAGCAGAGAAAATTACCTTGGCTTTTTTTTTTTTCTTTTCTAGTACTCTTGGATCTATGAAAGAAAAAAAAGCACCGATTTATCCGCCTGAAATGAAGGGTCCTAGAGAACACACTCTTCTCTCTCCTCACTCCTCTCTCTCTGCAGAGAGTGAGAGAGAGAGAGACTGTGTGTGTGTGTGTGTGTGTGTGTGTGTGTGTGTGAAAGAGTGGAAAAAAAGTGAAAAGGTTTAACAGAAGAAAACAAGACGAGAAGCATAAAGAAAATTCGTATCTTGTGTCTGTATGTATATGTGTTTTTACGGATGAATGATTTCAAGATTCTCTCTCTCTTTTCCTTTGTGTGAAAACTTGAAAGTTAAAATTTATTTCAATTCTGTCCCTCTTTTTTCCTTTTATTGCACTTTAGTCCCTCATGAATCATGATAATACTTATATTGACTATTTTTTAGATGGCATATTTTGTTTTGGACAAGTATTTTTAGGTTACTTCTATGCTACACCCTGTGAAGCTTGTGAATGTTTACCGTTGACACACACACACCAGTGTGGATGTGTGTGTGTTTGTGTGCTTACTAATGGTAAAGATATATTCGGTATATTTCACCTGGTGTAGCATAGAATAAACCGTATTTTTCTCTAACTTATTTAGGTCACAATTGTAATACATGCATATCAATAGTTTTAGGTCACAATTATAATGCATGCACGTTAAAAAAAAAGTATATATTTCAACGTCAAATGTCGACTCTAACTATTATAAATTATGATCGCTTCTCGCACTTACTTGAATGAAAGTCGTAATTTTCCCAAAGTTAATCTATTAAAGTTTGGATACTTGAATTGTTCCATGATCGGATTTAGTTTTAGGTCACAATTATAATACATGCACATTAAAGAAAAGTATATATTTCAACTTCGAATGTCGAATCTAACTATTATAAATTTTGATCACTCCACGTGCGTACTTGTATAAAAGTCGTTATTTTCCAAAGTTAATCTATTAAAGTTTGGATACTTAGATTATTCCATAATCGGATATCTTTTATATATCTTATCAATATATAAGTTCGTATTTCAATTTTTAGTCATACGGTCGTACTTATACTTTGCAATGTATTTTTGCTAAATTTATTCTATTCAGTTTTTGACTTATCGTTGAAAATTTCTTTGAGTTTAGAAATTAAAAACGGACTACAAACTCGCAAATCATGATTTAGTCGAAACTAACAAAAAATAATTGCTCTAGAAGCTGTCAAATTCACCTATGAGTTTTGGTAAAATGCAACAATATATATCATATGAAGTTTGAATATTGATGTGTTTATAATTGTAGCTATATAGCACTTCTTGTGAATTATGTGGGGAAAAAGAAAAGGTGCATAAATTATGAGGAGTGATGTAAAATTTACCCAAACTATTGGCGTTGGATGCAATTACGCATTTTGACTGAAAAAAAAATCGTAGAAGATTAAATACATCAGTTAATAATATATGCCAAATTTGAGAAATCTTTGAATTTTGACATATCCAAAACTCCAGTCTGGATTTTTTACATTAATTTTATTTTTCCTTTTTATGTAATAGAAATTTATAAAATATTTAGTATATGATTTACACAAAACATGAAATGTAAACACCAAATCAGATCCAGATTGTGGTAAATATCTAATATGTATTAATTGGAAAATCAAAAAGAATTAACTACATTATTAAAATAAACCTAATTTTTTTTTATTTAATAATTATTATTTTTGTAATTGTCCGAAATTCAGGTAATTGTCACAGTCTGGTATTACAACTTTATTTAGTGGGAATTGGGTGAAGTAAATGAGACTTCATTTCAAAGTTTCAACTGTCAATACTTCTCATTTTGGCTTTTGTAATAAATGAGTGAGAGACTACTGCAAATATTAAAATATGTCTTTTTCTTAAATAAATCCATTTTATATATATCTTATTTATTTTATTTTTCTATAAGATATTTCTACTTTGTAAAAGTATATCCATTTCCAAATATTTTTCAAAAAAAAAAATCTGATCATCTTTAATAATATAAATATAAAAAAAATAACTGCAAACATACATTTAAATTAAATTTAATATATATATATATATATATATATATATATATATATATATATATATATATATATATGGAAAGGAAGAAAGAAAAATAATTTATATGTAACAACTGGGCTTCGTATAAAACATATTCTGTAGGTATGAATTGAAATAAATTAAATGGTAGACCAAAGTTTTCTGGGCCTTCACAAACATGAACAGTTTAAAATGTGGACCATTTCTCTGAAATAAGTATTTACTTTTTCAAACACTAAATTTATTACAACGTGGGGACACAAAAATGGTCAACAAAAACATTTCTAAATGTACTTTCTATTAAATTTAAATATTAATAATTAATAACTTATTAATTTATTAATTTATGAAATTATTATTATTATTATTATTATTATTATTATTATTATTATTATTATTATTATTATTATTATTATTATTATTATTATTATTATTATTATTATTATTATCCATTAAAAAAAAAATGGACGAACCCGTAGATGGTGAAATTACCTAAGAACTGCACAATCTAATCAATGAGTTGAATCGTCGTACGAAATGGATGCTAGATATATCTTAAACTACCTTGAAGAAACAACGTAACTTCAGAGATGTTTACCGACGAATAAATAATTAAGAGTATCATGAGAAATGATAAAGACGATGAAGTTGAATATGATACTAAAAGCCCGTTTTCCGAATTTGAAGCTTTTAGAGCAACAACGTTATTACGAACAATTTTTTTGTTAGGTACATGAAGTACTTACTATATTAAGAAAAATGTGAAGGATGAATTTTAATGTGAAAAATCGAATCATGAATTGTAACGTATCATGTATTTGAAGAGTTATTTTTACACATTATTAATTTATATATTAGATGAATTTTAAAATATGTATTATCATATAAATTTAGCGAATTATTAATTTAGCATATTGTTCCCGAATCAGGACCGATTTTTTTTTTTTTATTGAAGTGTTAATTTATCAGGTATTAATTTATCGATGTTCTATTGTACATTGTTTAATCTATAAATTAAAAAAAAGTTAAAAATACATTATAAACATATTATATTTTTAATTAAAATTTATAAAATATTTAATTTTCTATACCTTTTTTTTTTTGTTTTTTGTAAATGTCTCTTTATAACATATAAATATTGCCAATTGCCGTCTGCCATGAAATGAAAATTATATTATTCATTTACACGTGTGTATTTATAATGGTTTACTGGCTTTAATTGGGAGAATAAAATTAAACATTATATATTTTCTGATGGTTTGGGTTTAATTGGCAGAAAAAAATAAAAATGTATTGAAAACAAAATATCTTTTCAAAATTTTGCAGGCTCTGCAGATTTGTTGTGACCGCAAAAAATAATTGAAGAGTAGTTATGTGTACTGTAGCTACCCAACCTGGGTTGGTACTGAGTTGAGTTATGAGCTCACTCATCTCATCATATTTATTTATTTATTTATTTTAGTTTATTAAGGATATATATATTTGGAAAGTTTTTTATTCTCTTTTTTTATCTCATGACTCAAGAATATATATTTTATTGGGTAAATTACGAACACACCCCTGAGGTAAGGCTAAATTACGAATTTTTTATTTTTAATATTTGGGTAATTATAACTACCCATCAAGTATGAATCTTGGGATAATTAGTGAAAACCCCCCCAATTCATTTACTTATATTAAGGTGGATATAATCTCATTTTCATTATTAGTAAGAACTCCCCATCTTATATTAAATAATATTTTTTTAATTAATATTATTTTTGAGATGATTAATATACATAATTTGCCCTATATTATATCTAAAATAATCAAACATATTTCACGTTCTCTTTATTTCTCTTATTCTCCTCTCTCTTTTCTCTCTACATACCGCCGCCTCTAACCCTCTTCCATCTCTGCGCCGCCACCGCCTCCAACCCTCTTCCATCTCTGCGCCGCCATCATTACTCTCTTTTCCCAATGGCTTTCCTCCCTCCACCGACGCGAAAAGAAGACGGTCTTCACCCCTGGAATTCTCTCATCAAGGACGGCGTTAGGATTTCGCTAGGGAGAATGACGAGACTATGCAGCGGCACTAGGGTTGATATTGCGTCTAAGATTTCAATAGAGACCACCGCCAACATTGTTTCATTGTTGTTGTTGTTGTTCCTCTCTGATTTTTTTTTTTAACCCAATTCTCGAATCTTAATTGTAGTTTTTGGTTGAATTCTTATATTGAAGGCTAATTTTGTGCTCAATCAATAGTATAATGGATGTTTGTTTTTGTTGAAATTGTATGGTGTTATTTACAGACTTATAGATTTATTCCGTACAACAATATAGTTGTATTCGTACAGCAGTATAGTTGTTTTCGTGCAGCAATATAGTTGTTTTTATTACTTTTTAGTTGATTGTAATAGTTGATTTAACAAATAATTGGTTTTGATAAATGAGAGTCGCTAGAGATACATAGTTCTTTTAATCATAATTGTTTAAATAATAGTTGTTTTAGTAATAGTTGTTTTATTGAAATATAGTTGTTTTAACTGAAGACAAAAAAGTATAGTAAACAAATTTTTTTTTTTAAAATATGATAAAAAAATAAAATAAAAATATTTTTTTAAATATTATATTTTAAATAAGAAATAAAAAAAACGAAAATTAAAATTGAAATACAAAAAAATAAAAAAATAAAATAAAAAGTGCATCAAAATAGTGTATAATAGTTAGTGAATAAATGAATGGTAAATTTGAGAATAAAAAAAATGATGGGTCTCTCACTAATAAATGAAAAGGAGCTGGATCCATCCTCATTAAAATAATGCTAGAGGGGGTTCTCACTAATAGTCCCAATCTTCTTACACGTCCACCAGTCAAATTCAACATAATCTTCTAGATTCCGTGGAATGTTCTCTAGTTTATACTAGTTTTGTGGGAAAAAAATGGAGCTACTGATGCACCACAATCTGATATATACAAGGCAAAAAACACATCTTATGATATCTTGCTTCAAAATATGGAGTTCGAATAGAATAAAACGGGTACAAACTTAAGAATATTCCATATAATCTAGAAGATTCCACTAAATTTGACACCGCAAGGGTGAACGTGTAAGAAGATTTATAATTGA